AAGATCTTTTTGAGCGAGCCTAGGGATCTGTTTCTTAGATTTCGCTGATTTTCGCTTCCGACTATAAATGCCGAAGATATGACGAAAAATGTAAAAAGACGAAAGAAATTTTATTTTCGAAATTTTCTTAGGCAAATACTTTAGACGGTGTTTACATGAGGCAACATGAGCAACAATCGCCTGGTGTGGAGGGCCTTTCAACTAATCGTTTCCAATGAAGTTGGAGCGCAGCAAACTTTTGATTCAACTAATCGCCTCTAAAATTGTTAGTAAAATCGCCCCATGTAAACACCGTATTAGACTCAGGGGTGTGCAGCGATTATTTTAAAGGAGCAAAAAATATTGCATTGACTAAAAAATTTTTGTACATAAAATAGTACGGTATTTTAAGCGATTTATTATTGGAAAGGCCATTCTTATCTCAAGCGATTTATTCATTCTTTGTTTCATAATATAAAATATACATACTTGTAAGTATGTAAATTGCAGACAAAAAATTAACAAAAAAAAATATCATTTCTAAAGATAGCGAAATCTCATGAAATCGATTCGCTGTTATAATTTTTTGTAGCGACTCCATAATAAATTTACGCCGCAACAAGTTGTGAATAATTCCTAAGAACTTTCAATTAAACAATATTTCATTACGGACAATAGATTTTTTTGCATCAAAGCGGGAATTTATTTTTCGAAGTATGACCATCTTGAAAAACGACACAATAAGAGTTGGAATATTTTTTCCTGTTTACCAGCGATATGTGCTCACGTACTTTCGCAATCTCTTCTAAATTCATGGTTCAATGAACTTCAGATTGCTTATGCTATCGTGTAACCCAGTTAAAGGTTAGTGAAACTGCAGCCTATTTGTTGTATTGTACTTTGATACATTGCGTTTTAGTCAATTTGAGGGCAAAAATCGGCAAAAATTCATCAACTCATGTTTGCTGCCAATATTGACACTTCTGGGTATATAGGTAAATCTTTTTTTTTTATTTCATATAAAGCACGCTTAGTTTTAAATTCATATTACAAACTCTTCTTTAATCTGGTTGCTGTCAATTGAAATAAATCCAGGAACAGGCTCAAATTTTTTAATCTACACACGAAAAACAGCTGATTCTTGCAAAAATTAAGAAACTATAACCTATAACTGACCTCATTATCCGAGTAGCTTAAGATTGTAAGACCCAAGTGAACCCTAGAGCAGGCATTGAACAACCCTCGACTATAATTCCGCCGTGAAAAGGTTTCTCACAAAACCATCTGCCATTCGGAGAGCACACATAAATGTATTCCATTTCACTGCGAATTCCGAGCGTAAATTCCACCGAAAATGAGTGTGAGTATGTATTATGACTCATCACATTATTGAATAGAAGTTGCCACTCCAGCGAATTAATAAAATTTCTTTTGTCCTCAGAAATCATATTCAATTTAATATTCCTTTTATGCGCACAATTTTTATTGAAAATATCTGCAATAATTTTAAAAATAAGCTGTGTAGTACTACATTCATAGCTAAGTGGGATAGAATAAACAACAACCAGCGATGACTTCAACTGTGTCAACTCACGTGAATTGAGTTTTATACGCTTACGCTTATGCTAACTCATATGTATGTAAGTGTACTCGTAGAAGAGATGACATTGAACTCTGGGGTTTGTCTGGTAGGTGCAATGTTAAACGCTACCCAAGCTGCAAGTTTTATGGCAAATGCGTAAGCAACCACCAACTACGCCTACAACGTCATACTTTATCGATTTAATAGCAAGCTGGGTGACCAGCCACTATGAGTCATGTTTATCTGTAAAATTTTGCAGATAAAGTTGCAAAAGAAGCGCCCTACACTTGCCGAGATTATCTTATAAAAATATATGATACTCTAGTAGTTGGAGCTAGTCAGCAAAATGTATCTCAACAATTTAGTTGTTGTGCATTGATTTGCATTTGAGGCACTGTAACCTAAGTACTGCGACAATAACTGCACAGAGGCAGCGCATGCGCTCAAGCGCTTTCATATATCTACTTAGGAAAGAGTACAGCAACGGGAACAGCGAAAAGAGTAATGCAAAAGCTGGACACTACGCCACTTTTATGGCCAACTTTTTCGCATGAAAACAAAGTAATCGCTTTGCTGGGTGACAGCAGTTGTGCTCGCTTATTTTTAGCGCAGTTCTAGCAAACTTTAATTTTAATTAAATTCTAATAATGACAAAAAAAATAAAATTCAATGTAAATAAGTGAAAAGCAGCAAATTGCTTGTGTCACTTGCACAAAAAATATGCAAGTTGAATAGTGTGAAAATCGCAAATAAATATTGAAGCCTATATGAACCTATGAAGTGTAAATATTTACTTTAACGAGTGCCTCTTGAATAAACACTTTGCTACGAAATTGCGCTGTGTCAAAGGAAAATGGTACTTTTCTTGGTAATTTTTGTTATGCTTTTGATTTTTCCATGATGAGAAGGGCAAGCGAATGTGCTATGATTATTGATTTTTTTGTTGCTGAAGATTTGATCATATTGAGCACAAGAGATTGGGCGAGGAAAAGTGCTGGTGGTGATAGGAAGTTTTAGTGAATTGTTTGAAAAGGAAGTACAGCACGAGAAAAGCTTCCGAAAGTGAAAAAAAAATCAGTTTTAAGTTTTCCAAAACCGCAACCAACCCTTTCATTTTTCTATTTTCTACCTATAAAACAGATAAATTTGACAACCTTCACTCGTGCTGCGAAATCGTTGTCGCTTTGAACACTGTGTGACACGTGCCGCTCACGGTCAATTGTTGGGTGTATAATTTTAGCATTTTGCGTAAACAAAGCTGCTATTTTGCATGCGAACTATAGCAAATTTTGCAATTGTTGTGGATGCTTTTGTTTGCATTAAATAAGCTTTTGTATGTACATATATGCATGTGTGTATGTACGTATTTCTTTAATTTTGCATTTTCATCGCTGAAAAAAAATCATCTGAATTCAGAAATGATTATTGGCGGCTAGTTGCAGCAACGTCACTGCCAAAGTGTGCCAACTGAGTTTAACTTGCACACAGCTGGGCTAAAAATATGTAAGTACTAAGCGACAAAATGCAAATTGATTGATTGCATTGAAGTCTCACAAAGAATGTTTAAAAATAGACTGCACGAAAAATGTTCCTTTATCCGTAAATAAGTCGTGAATGATGTAAAAGAGGAAACGCGAACGACATTTGTTTGATTTGAAGGTTTTTGTGGTATCTAAAATGTTGTGCTGTTGCGTATACGACGTGGAGGGCGAAGAGAGAAATAATAGAGAAGTAATTTGCTAAGCAGAAGTGTGCAGGATTTTTTAAAAATTATTATATCATATTTTTTAATTTTCATTATTTTTTTTATTAAGTTATAGTCTTTTCTTTAACCAAAACCGAATAAACCCAAGTTTCAATCTTTGTGCTTTGAGCTTTTTCATTGGATTTCTAAAATTATTTTAGTATATTAAGATGCCAGCTTGAAGTAGGTGGGACTTACCGTTGATTTCTGGGAGTTTTTTTGTTGAAGGTGTTGCTCATTTTCTCCATTTGAATAAAATCATCGAACATCTTTATTTCGTATGGAAGAAAGTTAGTGATTATAAAAATTTCTTAAACAAACTCAAAACCACAAAATTATTTATAATTTCCAATGGATTAAGGATATTTACAGTTTTAATTTTTTTTTTGTGTAAGATAATTTCTCTACGAAAAGTAAAGCAAAAATTTGAAACCGAAGTAAAACAAACAAAATAAAATTAAAAAAAGTAAAAAAAACTAACTCTTAAAATTAATTGAAAACAATTTAACTTAACGAAAAGCAGTTCCTGTCTTTTAATGATAATATAAAAAAATTTTGCGCAAAGAAAAAAAGGAAGGTAGTGATATAAAAATTTAATTACATAATTACATAAAAAAAACAAAAACAATTTAATTCTTTTTTCATTCGTGTATGCTATTTGGACATAAATAAAGTACAGTCTTTTTAATTTTTTGTTCCACGTTATGAAACTATTTTATATTAAAAATCTTGAGAAAAAATTCTAACCAAAGAAAATAAAATTTGTAGAAAAATTCAGTGAAAAAAATTCAACTTATCGAAAAGCGGTTCTTGTTTTTTAATATCACATAAAATAATTTAGCGAAAAAAGAAAAGCAGTTTTTTAAAATTTATTTAAGCAATAAAAAACGAAACAAAACAATTGAAAGGTTTTATTTTTTTCATTCGTTTATGCTATTTAGATAGAAAATAAAGACCAAAGTTCTTAGAATTTTTTTCAATGTAAGAAAACTATTTTATACTAGAAAATATCTGAGAAAAAGATTTTAGACCAAGGAACAAAAATTGTATAAAAAATGACAGAAAAGAGTCTATATATTTTTTTCTATGTAAAAAATATTTTATATTAAATATCTGAGAAAAAATTTCAGATCAAAAATTCAATCAAAATTTTTATTTTTTGTTCTATGTAAGAAAATGATTTTATATTAAATATCTGAGAATAGCATTTTAGATCAAGAAACAAAAATTGTATAAAAAACTAAAATTTTGAAAATTTGACATAACAAGGAAATATTTTTTATTGTTAAATAAGTAAATTATTTTTATTTTTTACTACCGGCTGCACAAGCAATTAAATCACCTTTTACTTAAAATTGCTTTTATGAAGAAAAAATTTAAAATGTTTTCATTTTTTTTTTGACAAAAGAAGGATTTTATATTTTTGCACTATGTAATTTTCTTGAATCAAATAAAAGTTTTCTGCAACAAGAAGTATGTGCGACAAATTTTTAAATTTGTATTCATATATGTTGAATTTGCTATTATATTGCTGCTAGCTAGAGTTTTGGTTGCCAAAAAATCAAACTGTTATCACTACTTTATAAAATTGTTTACTTTAACTTTAAGCTGCATGTTATCTACATATTTGCAATGTTTGAAGTCAATAAGCACTCAATCATGTTCAGCACCCATAGCCGTCCGAGAGCGCAAAGTGACTGATAACAATATAAATATACAAACAAATGTCCACAATTCGGTATTCGCCATAAATATTTTTTTTCCTTTCAATTACTCTGCCACAATGTCTAACAGTGGACAATTTAAAGAAAGGAAAATAATATATTTTATTTATTTTTATGCGAGGAAGCAGAAAATTCCGCTGTTTTAAAACAAACAACAAACAAAAAGATAAACACGTGAAATGAATAAAAATAAAAAAATAGCACCATAAATTTTCGTGCTTCCCACTCCGGAATTGAGTGGCTGCCAAAAACCAAAGAAAAAAGGAAATCGAAAAATTATCTCATTTTCTGGCGTAGAAACGGCTTTAAATAGCGTTTTGCGCAGAAACGTTACAAAACAATTAGCAGCGCAAATATGTGTATCTAAATTAGGGCGGAGTAATTTGTTCGGAGCAAAATTTTCAAAGAAAGTGTATAGCAAAATCAAATTCTAAGATTAATTCTAAATTAATTAAAAAATGGCGAACAAACTATATACCAAAAAGGACGTTAGATCTTCCCAATTTTCAAAAGAAAAACACTATAATGTATGAAGAAAATACAAAATTTTGTAACTTATTTTTCCCTTAAAAATTGGGACGGTCTAGCATTATTAGAATCGAACGTAGAATTCGAAAATGCCATACAATCTTTTCGAGAAAAAGTACTCCGCCCTAATGTATTTACATTTATACATACTACTCTACGCTATACTTGGCTGTATAATTTTAGCCCANAATAAAAGTACTCCGCCCTAATGTATTTGCATTTATACATACTACTCTACGCTATACTTGGCTGTATAATTTTAGCCCATTGTGGCTTATTGACAAAATCATGTATGTAAAAAAAAAATTGTTTATATCTGCTAACAATTTTCTATACTTTTAAATATTGCGCAAAAAAGAATCAAAGCGTTAGGTGAATTTCCTTATACAACCGTGGACTCTTTTTCTGAATCACCTCTGGCCATTTGCGGGTTTCGCAATTTCCTGCGCATAGTAAACCCCTCAGTTGATCACAGCGAGTTTCGTAGCAAACACGCGAGTGCTGAGAAAAAAATTTAACCAACAACAAAAACGAAACAAACGAAAAATATTTCGCGTAGTGTAATCCGCCTGCTGCCTCATTGAAAATCCACATCAATGCGCAAAAACTTACAACAACACTATTTGGCAACACTGAAAAAATGTGCCACGCCGCCAATGGTAACAGCAACACCACCCGTTACAACAACACAACCGCAACGTCAGCAGCAAACGAAAGCACAATTGTCAGCGACTACACAATTGCAACAAAAGGAGCAGCAGAAAATCAAATTGCGCTCGATTTGCGCCTCGCCTAAGCGTTACATGTTGACGTCAAGCGGTATTGGGGGCCTGTGTTTGGATTGTTTTCACGTCGCACTTGGCAGCAGTTTACCGCCTGCATACAACCGTTCAAGGTCAAATGGCACAAGCGCGCTGCAGGCAACAACAGCAACAGCAATACAAACACCAAACGACATAAAAGCAGTGGTTCAAGCAACAACAGCGCCAGTAGTAACAGCAACGGCTGCTGTAACAGCTGAGACAAAAGCAGCAACAGCTGCTACTGTTGACAGTGCGATGAATTTGTTAGTGGCAAGCGCTGGTGGTGGAGTAGGCAAAATAGAAACAACAGCTTCAGCAGCTAAACAGCAAACACGTGTTGCTGAGGTAAAAATATGGAAAGTTTTAAAAAAATAAGTGTTTCAGTTTTTTTGTTGTTAAATTTGAGCGCACGCCCACTGTGTGTGTTACGTACATATACGCAGCTTTACAGTGCATTGCGCGCAATAAAGTGTGTATATTTCATGCGCGTCGCCATCAGCTGATAAAAAATCGTTTAATTGTATGCTTTCTCAGCTAAAAAGCAGCCAGCCAGGCAGCTTTGCATTGCATTTGTGTTGGTGATAGTACAAAGTGTACAAAGGTAAATGGCCACCATACATACATACATACATGCATACATCACATTACTCATACGCCATGCGCGACGCCTGTGACCGAACAGCAACTGCGAAATTTCCCAAGAAATATAAGAATACTTGTTGCTAGGTGCGCTGTGAGCTTATATTAATACGTTTGCAGCTGATGGCAAGTATGAAAAGCTGGGAAAAGCTCACGCGCTTTTACTACCATAATACTAAAAGTAAAAAAAAAAGCTTTGAGGCATTCAAATTAAAATATGCGCTGTTCATGTTTTGAGCAGATAAACTAATCGGAACAAGTTGATAAACAGAATTTCCGAGTTGCGATAGCTACTTAATAATATAAACAAAAGCAGTCTCATTGTATTTGCCAATTATACAATTGAAGAGATTGTTCCAACCTTGCATGGCTAGATTTTTAATGTGTAAGATTTCAAGTGATCTCCATTCTGCTCACGAATGATGAAAATTATTTTAAATTTAAATTTTGTATTTCTTTGTTATTACTTCTTCTCCGTTTATTTTTTTGTATCTCATTGCAAGCTTGTTTTACTATTTCACGCTATTTTTATAGCTTTTTCTTATGGCAAACACGTGATACTCTGTTGAATGTCATTTGTATAGTTCGTTGGCAGCGTAAAAAGCTCGGTAAAAAAAGAAATAAAAACAATCAGAAACGTGTACTCAAAAACAGTTTAAGTAGCAAATTTATGGTTGTCGCTGTTATTGTTATTTTAATTGGCTACGCAAATGATTTTTGGTGTCCTAAAAAAATGCAAAATTTTGTGATTAAACAAAATGTAGATGTGTATATGAATGTGTGTTCGTAAAATCATGATCATGTGAATTATAAGCTTTGTCTTTTTTTTGCACTCTAAACATTTTGGAATCACAAGCCTTTAGGTTAACAAAAAATTAGCAACTAAGGCCTCAGCAAACTTATGGTAGCTAATTTTATTACAAACTTTTTGAAGAAAAAACATACAATTTTTTCCACTTATAAATAACAATTTTCAAATCAAAAAATTCAAATTTTATTGAAAAGAATTTTTGTTTTTCAAATCATTTCATTTTTTTCTCAGGGACCGTAACGATTATAATCTTTATAATAAAATAATAGTGTTTTTATGAATTTATTTTTTTGATCAAGAAAAATGACCGAAAAAATAAAAATCAAAAAATAACGATTTTGCAATGATCTAGAAAAAAAATATTGATATTTGATAGTCGTTTTCAGTCCCGTTTTTTTAGGTCGTAAGCTTAAAAAAAAATTTAATTCATTTTGTAATCTTTATTTAAAATATTTCTTTTAAAAAATTAATATCATTGATGGATTTTGAAGTTATGCATCTTCAGCCACATTGTGGAATATATGTATATTTTCATATATATTTAAACGTAAACTACTTGGCCTTTTTTCAAAAAAAAAAACGTTGGAAACATTAAAAAATCTTAAAAAACAAATGTTTATACTAAATTAATTAAACAGATATACATAGTTGACACTTTGAAATATTTTCCGTTTTCCGCCAAGAATTAATGAATGAATAGTTCTTCATTAGACGAATTAAACAAATTTTTATTAAAAATTTAAATAAATTTATACTTTTTTATTATTCTTTTTATTAAAAAAAGAATTTAAATGGTTAAATTTTCAAGGAGCCTACCTTTATTATAAACAGATACATAAAAAAAAAAATTGGCAAAAATACTTTTTTAAATAAAAAAATTGAGACCTTTAAAAAATGCAGAAATTATTTGAATTTAAATCAAAAATTTTAAACTAAATAAAGTAAAAAAAAAATTTATTGCGATTTTGAAAATTTTTCTTTCTTTAATTAGGAAAAAAATAAAAAAAATAACACTGCCAAGAATTTCAGTTTGAATAAATTGTTTGTTGCATATAATATTTTTGGAAGTAATAAGTACAGGAGCACTCATATGTTAATATATACAAACATACATACTGCATGCTTATGTGGATTGCTTAAGAGGAAATATTATGTATGTAGAAAACTATGTGCATAAATATGCAAGTTGTACAAGCAGTTAATCATTTAAAGCAGACAACTCAGTGACAACGCACTGCACTCATTCAATTAGTTTGTCGATATTTATTATTTTTCGTTTTTAATTTTAGCAAAAGATCACACGAAATTGTTAAATTTTCTATTGATGGTTTGCCATTTCCACTTTTTATTTGGTAATTGGGAAATTACTAACCAATGAAGTAATCAATCTGCTGTGCTGGTGCTCTGTGGCAGAGGAGAAACTAGAAATACATTACTAGAATCGAAACGGTAATAGCCCAAGATACGCCCTTTTAGTATTCTCTTACTAAAATATGTAGCATAACATAGGTGCAATGAACTTTTTAGTAAAAGATCGCATTTATTTTTTCATATTACTAAAAAAATTTTTTTTAGATAGGCTCCTCTGGCCCTGATCGCCTCAAATGTAATTGATTTTCAAAAACATGAAAAGATATTTTGTTGTTGTATAGAATAATTTTAACTGAGATTAATTGACCAAAATATCTCATTCTTTTATTTGTTTTAATTTTTTCCATCAATTTGCTGTTTTTTAACTTATGACAGCATTTAATTTTTTTTTTAAATATACGTCACATTCTAATTGTTTTAATACGTTATGATTTTTTACAAATATACAACTGCCAATGAAAACGAATCCAAAAAAATATCCTAGCTGTGCTTTTTTTGATTTATTAAAGCTGAAAATTTAAAAGCAAAATTAGGAAGAACACTTAGTAGTTGAAAATTTGGTGGCAATACCACTCCAAATTAATTTTGAAGCAAAACTATCTCAACTTTAAAAACTTGAAAATAGGTGGCAACTATGTATATACCAATTTTGTCGTCTCAAAATTGCATGAATCTCTTAACAATTTAATTTTCCTTTAAGTAGATGTGAAAAAAGTAAAAGAAGATTTTGCTTAAAATTAGGTGGGAATTCTGCCCCAAAAATTTTTTAAGTAAATGTTTATTGTATGCCTCCAATTGCATATTGGCGAATTTATGAGTAGTAAACTTTCGAAAAATTTGAATTAAGATGGCAACTCTGCGTGAAACAACAGTTTCTTTTCATAAGAGAATAATACTGCTGGAAAACGTATATATATTATAAAAATCATAAAAAATTTAAAACTAAGAAAAGATTATTTATTGTAATGAAAATTTAAAAACAAAAAAATTTCCGCTTACTACCGTAGCTACCTTATTTCAAACCCTTTACATTTACAGTAACACCTTACAGCACTTGGCTGGGTATAGGACAAAACCAACTTTTTTTTTAAGAGATTGGCTCATAATTAAAAAAGTAATTTCTCCTTTTTTCGAAGTTTGCCCCCGAAATGGAGATATGGATTTTCAAAGTTCGAAATTGGACCTTTGGTAAAAAATTACTTTTAATTTTTGCGTGTAGGCAACTAAAAAAGACGTGATCCTGCTTTTGCTCTTATTTAAACGGCATATATTATTTTTTTCTGCAAACTTATATTAAAGGTGCTATAAGAAAACTGATATAGGTGGCGACTCTAGTACCCATCGGANTTGACTTTCAAACTCTGCTGACTCCCCTTCCCTTCCTTGCCTAACTAAGCGTTATTAGCTGTCGGCGACTAATTAATTTTAGCCGCATACATATCGCTATCAGTAGCTAGAAAATATGTTACAAATTATTGTTGGTAAACGTAATCAGTAATACCTGCTGATTTGCAGAAAAAATTACGCTGTTGTACGCCAAGTCTGGTTTTAAGTTAAAGTTTCAATCAACCGCAATTGCATTCAAGCGTTGACAAGCATAAGAATAAGATCGCTCTTAGATTTACTAAAATAGTTTTTGTTTTTATAAATAATTACTTATTGGAAATCTGAAAAATGCTACCTTCAAAAGTACTAAAACATTTTCGTCCTTTTCTTTTGCTCTTCTTCCTGCAGTGCGCTTCGTACGTAGACGCCGCATCGATTATGAACGAAATTTTGGTTTTGGATACGGCCGCCCCATCAACGACAACTTCACCATGCACGCCTACGCTGCAGCAGTTTGCCGTCGAGTTGCACACTGACCTGGGTCCAAACGAACGCGTCGGCTTGACAGGTGATGTGAAAGCTTTGGGTGAATGGCGTTTGGAGCGCGCTATTGCATTGCAGCCACAACAGGGCGGCCGCAAGTGGGAGGCCAATGTGTTACTGCAGACTTGCCGCAACATCAGCTACCGCTACTTTATCTACACTGAGGACAAGCAAGGACGCAAGCAGATACGCCGCTGGGAGACACGCCTGCAGCCGCGTGTACTCAAGCCTACTGGCGAGTTGGCTGCGGCCGAGACGCGCGTCGATCGCTTTGGTGATGCAGATGGCAGCGGCGAGACGCAAGTGAATCGCGGCTGGTTGACCAATGAGTGCATAGTGCAGCTGAAGTTCGAACGCGAGCAAATGTTCCAGGTGCTTGATATTGAGAAATTCGATCCAGCCGATGAGGTGTATGTGAAGATTTTGCCCCTAAATGAAGAGACCGAGCCAACTGAGGCGGGCGTGCATGTAGAGGTGGCCAAGTTGAAGTATGGTGAGAGTCACTTGCAGGCACAGCAGGCTTTCGGTATTGCATATGAGCGCGGCGACGTTGTTGTATTCCACATCACAGCGCCTTGTCCATTGCAGACCGCCTTTGCGTTGCTTTTCCACACACCTGATCAGCGAGCAGTCGGCAAGGCGGTCATTACAGCCGAGCAGCTCGCTGGTAGCGAAGGTGTTCTGGAGTTGTCTATTACCGAGCCGGTACCCGAAGCCACCACCATTATATCACGTCTAACGCTACCGTACCTGATCGTCAAGCCATTTGCCGACAAGACACTTGACTTCCGCACCACATATGCGCATTACTGGCCTAAGAGCTGGCCCAATCTGAATGTTGGCCATCGTGGCAATGGACGCAGCTACATTGCAGATCCGCCCGCCGAACGTGAGAACACAATCGCTTCCTTCATGCGCGCCTACGAAAAATTCGCTGACATGATCGAGTTGGATGTGCACTTGACAGCCGATGGCGTGCCGGTGATCTATCATGACTTTGGTATGCGCACAGCGCGGAAGGGCAAGGAAATCACCAAACCAGAACAACTGGAGTATGTGCTGATCAAGGATGTGGATTACGATAAGTTGAA